ACACGTCCCTGAACAGCTGTGTGGAAGCCAGGGCACCTTCCCGGGAACTGCAGGGACACTCTCCCAACGGAGCCCAGGAGCTGGGAGGAGCAGGCCTGCTCCCCCTCCCCACCCCCCCCTTCCCCCCTGGAGCAATGAGCCCAGGCTTGCCTCTTCCCTCAGGCTGGCCCAGGAACCTCCTTCCTGAAGCAACATCAGAAAGGCCTCAGATGCTCCTGCAACCCCTGGGAAGCTGGCTGTTTTGCTCAGGCTCCTCTGGGACAATCCTGGCCCAAGAGAGTGTGGCTAGTCCGGGGCTCTGTTGGCAGCTCAACAAGGGCTTCCCGTCTTTCTGAAGCCGCAGGCCCCCTTTGTCCAAATAGCCACATTATAGGAAAAAGCTGAGCATAAGGAAGGTGACTGGGTTTCAGGAGACAGAACGGAAACTGATGACCCAGAGACGGCCGGCCGATAAGCAGCAGACAGCTGCAGGTACCACCTGGCACTCAGGCCCCCCCAGCAGTAGGACCTTCCTAAAGACATGGGGGACATCACGGTTGAGAAGACAAGCGTGTGAGCCGTGAGCTGACCTGGCCACTGAGGCTCCTCTCCTGCCCCCTATCCCCGAGTGTGGCCTCCCCACTCCCAGCAGCCGCTCCGGGACACACTTTGGAGGTGGTGAGGTGTGGACAACGCCTGCACGCGTGACAGAGTCACTGAAGGCCCCTGTATACACTTTTAAGATTTGGTGCATGGGGGCGGGGATGCATTTGTCCTGGGGCTGCCCAAGACTAGCCTCTACCTAAGTTCCCTTGTTTATTAAAGCGGCCACCTACCCAGCGTCCTGCCTCTTTCTTTTGTCTCTCCTGCCCTCTGCTTTGGGGACAGTTTCAGATCTCTCCAGGGAGGCTGGCCAACCATCACCACCTGGGAGTGTGTTTATTCTGTCATTTTATCCCACGTGGGATTCCTGTGACCTCCCTGCAATCGAGATGTGGAGTGTTCCGCCCCACGGAGACCCCTCCTGCTGCCCCTTCTCGCCATCCATGCCGTTCCTGGATTGGATTTTCTCCCCCAGCAAATGCTCATGAGATCCATCTAAATTGTATGAAACTTATACACAGGTTATTCCAAAGCGTCTCTTAACTTTTTCAATACTGGAGATAAGTTCAGCAGGATTTCACCTTACAACACAAAGTCTGAGAAGTTTCGTCTTGTGAACAGGATTCGGTGGCAAAGCCGACCCTCTCGTGGGATGAGTTCTCTCCGGCATTACACACATAAAACGTGTTCTGATTCCGTTTCAATGCCACACACATTTGTGCATGACGACTTACTGACTGTCCCAGGCTTTCTCAGGCTGAATTTGAAATCTCTCTAGGATGGAAAGGTGTTCATGCAGGGACACAGCCAGCCCAGAGGGCCAAGGCCGTGCCCCCACTCTGAGGTCTCTGCAGGATGCTGGCGGGATCCACCCCCTGACCGTGGGGGTTCTTATGGGCACCAGCCCACGTCCCACGTTGTGTTGCTCCCTGTCCCCTGCAGGGAGCATTCCCCACATGACTGCTGAATGAGATTTTGCCTTTTTGGCCCTTAAGATAGTAAATATATTTCTTGTTTTAGTCTAGAGAACTTTCTTTAACTTTATGGGCTCCTAAGGAGATGTCTTGTATTATCCCCCTAGCCTAATAAAATCTTACATTCTTTCATATTCTCGGCACTGTCTAGCTCATGGGGTTACTTAAAATGTTCCAAGAATGTCTCTCTCGGCCTTTTCTGGGCCACAGGGGGCCACCGCCCATCAGAATTTTCACCTAATGCAGACTTTTCCTCAGTGTTTGCTGGGTACCCTCACTGACAACAGCTTCACAGATCCTGCTGGCCTTCCCCTGCCCTAGGAGGTGCCGGGCAACCCCCGCCTGCCTTCCACAGGAGGGGGGGCACTGGGCTGAGGATGGGCCACTGGGCAGGGGTTGGGGGAGCACTGGGGGGGAGGAGGGGCACTGGGTGAGGAGGAGGGGCACTGGGTTGAGGGAGGGGCACTGGGTGGGGAGGGGGGGCCCCGGGGGGGGGGCCGGTTCGCACCACCCTGCAGTTGCTTGGCAGCCAGGACACGAGCTGGAGAGAATACTGCCCTCAGTGCCTGAATGAGGTAGGGGACAGGAGATACTCGTACAGCAAGGCCACGAAAGGACATGTGGGGAACCAGAGACAGTCATCCAGGACCACAGCCAGAGGGCAGGAGGCAAGATGTAGAAGTAAGTTGGTCCCTCCCAGAGGCCAGGTTCCCTGACCATCCCAAGGGATGCCCAGGAAGCCTGGGGAAGAGGCTTGAGCTGGGAGGGAGGTGGGGTCTGGCAGGGGCTGAATTTAGATGAGTTGAGGGGCGTGGGGCAGAGAAACGGTCAGCCCTGAGCTCTGTCCTGCCATTGAGCAAAGGGAGAGCCTGTGGGAACCGGCAGTGATGGGGGCGGGGGGGACTAGGTGATGGAGACTCCTTCGGGTGAGGAACCAGATGGCTGGCTGGGAGTCAGCCTGGCTTATGGCCCAGCCCCCACCAGGGTCCCTATGGTCAGTTCCTGCCCTCAGAGCCCTAACCCTTAGGTGGACCCTGAGTATAGCTCCTGCATGGGACCCCTCCCCCTACACCTCCACCAGCTTCCTGGGGCCGTGGGCCTGACCTTGCCCTCCAGCTTGGAACCAATCAGGACCAGAATGTTCAGAAAGGCCGAAACCCACCACTGGGCCTAGCAGGAACAGCCTGCGTTCACCTTCCCACAGCAGCCTCTCTGGCCAGCTCCGTCGGCCCCTGGCGCTCTCACGGCAAGTCTGTCCCTGGAACACTGGCCTGCACACCTGACAGCCGCGCCTGTAACACGTCAACTGCCACAGAGGCCCCCGAGGGGCACCCTGGGCAGCACTCCCACCTCCAACTAAAGAGGCTCGGAGAATGCCGTCTTCCAAGAAAGAGACACAAAAGGACTCTCCCTCCTGTTCTCAATACTCCTGCTTGGAAATATCCTTATGCTGCTAGGCTAGCACTCTATTTTCGCTGAAAAGTCTGGACATTCAGACTTGGGAAGGATGTCCTAAGGTGCATTCTGAAGGGAAGAGAACACCCAGGACGCAGGCACAGAGGCCAGCTGGGAAGGAGGTCGCATGGATGTCCCAGAGCTGGGGAGCCCCTGGTGCCAGAGTCCTGTGGCACCCACGCCCCAGTACACTTGCAACTCCTAACCCTGACCCACACTCACCTCTCACTCAGACACCCCTAGGAAGGCTGACAGGCTCCAAACCCTTTTATTAGCACACGAGAGACTCTATCTATTGAAAAGCTGTGAGTGTGCAGGATGCACACAACTGTTCTTTTTGTCCGGGGGCAGCTCAGAAGCAGAGCCTGAGACCACCCTTGTGGAAATTCCACCAGCCACGGGGTCATCCTGTTGGCGCAAAGCGAACCCAGCACACTAGACACATAGATCCCATGGACTTTGGAACTCACTGTGGGGAGCAGTCACAGCCCCCTCCCCATCCATGAGTCCTTATGGCTGCAGGGTAGTCTAGTGGGAAGAGTAACCAGTCTGACTGGCCCCACCGGCTGGCACCTGTCTCTTTTCCATCTATCCCTATCCGCAGTGAGGTGCAAGTGCAGGTGAGGCCTGGGTGCCTCCTTGTGCCTGTGCTGGGCAATGGGTGCCCTTCCTGGTTCAGGCTGAGGTCGTAGCTCTCCCGGTTCACTTACAGGCCCTTGAGGAAAACCGGTCTCAGCCCCATGGGAAAGCAGCCACTCTTTATTCATGATGACCCCCCCCCCCTTTGTCATTTCCTGTCTGCTGTGCTCTGGAGGGCCATCAGGAAGGTATAGCCATGCTGGACATACAAAGGGGAGCAGTCAGTCTTACTCCGTTTTCTCCTGGAAGCTCCTTGGCATACCCTTTCTCCAGGGGCCAGCTCTGCATGCCCGCGGGAGGATGGGGGGGGGGGGGGGTTGAAAGGCCAGCCTTGGTGTGGACCAAACACTAAGATATCCTATTTAATCCCGACCCCACCCTGTGAGAAAGGCTCTGCATCACCCATGAAAGCTGACCAAGGTCTTTAAAGCAGCAAAACTGGTCTGCAAGGTAAGCCAAGAACAAAGATTCCTTTCTAGGGCTTCACATCAAGAATTCCACAAAGAGCAAACATTTCAAAGGCCTAGTCTCTCCCCAGCTCTTCACTGGGGCCAAGTGCCGGCCTCTCGTCCAGATAGCCAGGACACAGGGGTCTGAAAGGTCTTGAAGGGGCACCCCAGACCTGAGGTAGGAAGTGTAGATTTTACAGCGGGCTTATTAGGAGACACGTCTTCGCTTCCCAAAGGAGTTTTTGCTTTTCAGTGGGCTAGTCGGCTTACTCTCCAGACAAATCATAAAATGGCATTGTCCTCTGCGGATGTTCCTGTCACGTAACCTTGTCATGTGTGTAAGGTCACACCTGTTCTCATTTCCTCTCGTAAAACCGAAAGGTAGCCCTAGAATCAGCCACACGTTGGAGCTCTCTATCCCCCGCCTAAAACCGACAGTATTTGATAAACGTTGTCGCCTTGGGGACGGACTTGGCGGTCTTCATTTCCAGGCAGCCTCCGCTAAAGCGGACGTGGGCCGAAGCCCCAGTTATCCAGGACTTCCTCTAGGGTAACGCGCGGACGCTGACTTCCAGCACCCGTCCCTGCTGACGCGGGTCCGCGGAACACATTGCCTTTCGCGCGCCGCCACCTGCTGGCCTGCATCCCGGGGCTTCCCGGTCTCCTGGCAACGCCAAAGATGGCCGGCGTGCGAGGACTCCTGGGGAGTGTAGTTCTTCCTCTCCTTTCTACTCTGTCCATGGCTCAGCTATTAGGACCTAGGCGCCCTGGACTACACTTCCTAGGTTGCTCCACGCGCGCCTCCCACAGCCTCGCGAGAACCCTGTGCCGGAACCCATCTCGAGAGAGGGAGCTCTCGCGAGGACCGCCGGTAGTTGTAGTTTGAGGCTGAGGAGAGACTACAGAGGCGTCTACAAGGCTGAGCGGAGACTACGAAGGCGGAGAGACTACAAGTCCCAGGGGGAGAGGCGCGACCGCCTGGAGGGCGGGGGGTACGAAAGAGGAACGCGAAGGGCGCCGGGGTGAGTGATGGGCCGGGGGTGGACGCGCGGTCTGCAGGGCCGGGGGCGGACCGGGGGCGGACCGGGGGCGGAGGCAGGGGCGCCGGGGGCGGCTTTGGGGCGCGGACGCCCGGGCCGGATGGTCTCCGGCGCGGTGTGGGGCGCGGAACCCGGACAAAGGTCCGCGGGGACCCGGCTCCCCTCGGGCTACCGAACCTCCCGCAGGAGTCGTCATCTGAGAGAGGCCGTCGGTAGCTGGACTCAGGCCCCCTCCACCGCCCCCGAAGCCGCGGAGCCCCAGGAGGTCTCGCCCTCAGGACCGAACGCAGGCCGGGGTGGGTGGGGGAAGTGTGAGGCCGCCGGCTGTCCTTGGAAGCCGTGTTCACACCGGCACTCTCCCTGGAGGTTGCGGGATCTCTTAGTCCGTTTATCGCCACGAAATCGTCAAGGTTGAGTCGTTATGCAGGTTTTCGAGGAGTGTGTTGCCACCGTAACAATTTGACTGATGTGTTAGTTCCGGTGTGACTTAAGAGCAGGTCACTAGGGTACATTCGGATACGGCCTTTCAAGGGTTTGAAGGAGTAGCATTTTGGCAAACGCAGCTTCGCCCAAAAACCTGTTTTCTGACAATTCTTAACGGTTTCGTTTGATTCGAAGGTGTCAACCTTGGCCCCGTTTTTCGTTTTGTGTTTTTCTTAGTATTGCTACATTATAAGGAGGATGCTGACCTAGGTCTTCATCTTTCTCGTGGTTTTTAACCTGAGGAAGGCCTGGACGGGTTCCCGTACCGGGTGGTCAGGGAGCCCGCCTGGATTACTCCCACTCCCGCTCCCAGCCAGGAGCCACTGGATAAGTAGTCTGTGTTCAGGCAGAATCTTAATGGCCACATTGTTTTCAGAAGTTCCTAGAAGAAGATAGAATCTGAATTATCCAAAAAGTTTCTTTTCGTAACACATGCCCCCGCCCTGGTACAGTCCTCCCCGGAGCAGAGCAAACAGATGCATTGGTGGGTGATCACCTGAGTGGGCTGGTCCACAGGGGCACCGCAGGACCCCAAAGGCACCTCCCAGCCCCTCGCTTACTTCTGTCCTCCAAGACAAGCTGTGACTTATCACGTGACTCATTAGAAGCATGAAGGAGTCACCACAGCGCTGAGCGTTCGGCACCTCCAAGGCGAGGGATGCCTTTGAGTGGTTTTCCCGCATGCAGGCCCCAGGCGGAGGCTGCAGGGGTCCACACCCCTGTCAGGTGTGCAGAGGCCGCAGAATGGTGGGCAGTGGGTGCCACGTGACATTCGTGGCATCGGCCACACGTGTCAACAGACCGGAATGTTTCCTTTCTATCCGGTCAAACCGTGGACGGCATTTATTTTCCATCACAGCACGAGATGGGACTTTTAGATCGCGAAGCATGTTCCTAAGTTCTCAACGGTTCTTATCTTCCCGAGAGACGAGTTCCACGTTGGCTTCCTTTGCTTGCTGAGACCATCGGCGGTACCTACTCTGATTGGCGGGGAGAGGTGGGCAACAGGCCTGTGTTGTGCTTCATCGGTGCCTCAGAGCCCGAAACTGGTGACCCCCTGTCCCCACTCTCCTGTCCTGCCACAGCTGCCTGGAGGCTCGGGGAACCGAGCTGCAGTGAGCACTTGTGTGCTCACTCTGACTGAAGAGCCTTTTGCAGGGTCGTCCTCCCAGCCCTAACTCCTTATGGAGGGACTGCAGATAACCCCACCCAGTCAGCCCTGATACATTACTTGCGTAGGGTCACAGCGGCCTGGAGGCTTTATTTCTTCACTGAAACCAGTTCTTCTAAGGAAAAATGAGCTGTGAGAGAACATACAGTACAATTTAAATTCTCACCAAGTTTTGGGGTGCGTGGGTGGCTCAGTCGGTTGAGCATCCGACTTCTGCTCAGGTCACGATCTCCTGGTTCCGAGTTCGAGCCCCGTGTTGGACTCTGTGCTGACGGCTCAGAGCCTGGAGCCTGCTTCGGGTTCTGTGTCTCCCTCTCTCTGCCCTTCCCCCGCTCGTGCTTGCTCGCTCGCTCTCTCTCAAAAATAAACATTAAAAAAATTTTTTTAAATAAATTAATTCTCACCAAATTTTTCATTGCCATGTAGAAATATTTTTATCCAGTTACTTAACTTTTTCGCTCCGATACGATCAGGACGAATCACATCTATTCAGTCGGTTAGTGGGGTGTAATTCACATGCAGTTATTGACAGATGCGCCCAGCTGTGTAACCTGCACACCGATCATGATAGAAAACATTTCTGTCATCCTGGAAAGGTCTCTCATGTTGTGGACTGCATGGTGTGTCCCCCAAATCCATATGTTGAAGCCCTAACTCACAGTGTTTTGGTATTTGGACGCTGGTGGGGCCCTTGGGAGGTGGTCAGGGTTACATGAGGGCACGAGAATGGACCCCATGGTGGGATTAGTGCCCTTAGGAGAGAAGAGAGAAATCTGGTCACAGGCACAGGGAAGGCTGTGTGACACCGAAAGAAGTTACCATCTGCAGGACGGGAAGGAGGCTGAGCCAGACACGGAATCTCTGGAATCTTCCGGCATCTTGGAGTCTTGGCTCCAGTCCCTCCATGTCGCTGTGTCAGCACTCCTGGGATGTGCCACAGTGCACCTATCAGTCCTGTGGTGGCACTTGGCTTAGGTGACTAAAGAGGTTATGGACATTGTGCACATCTGTGGGTGTGCTTTCCTTTCTCTTGGGAAAATCCCTGGGAGCGACGCTGCTGGGTTGGGTCTACTGAGCAGAGCAGTGTTTCGGGGTGGCTTTAATTTGCATTTCCTTGAGCTTAGTGATGCTGAGCACCTTCCCACCTGCTCATTACTGCTCACACCTCTTTTCTGAAATGTCTGATCCAGTCTTTTGCCCGTTTTAAAAAATTACCAAGTTGTGAAAGTCCTTTCTATCTTCTGGATACGTGGTTTGCCAGATATATATTGCAAATATCTCTCATTCTTTGACTTGCTTATTCATTTATTAATGTTACATTTTAAAAATTAACTTTAAAAATTTTGGAGGAGTTTTAGATTTACAGAAAAGTGTTAAAGATAGCCAGTTTCCCCTACTACGGACATTTAGGTGACTATGGTGCATTTTTCAGAACTGAGAATAGCAGTGCTCACATTCCAGACGGCAGGTGTCACTCAGGTCCACAGCGTCCCTGTCCGGGTCCCACACTGCACTGAGTTGTCGCAGCTCCTTTGTCCCCTCCGGGATGTGTGTCTCAGCTTCTCTTGCTTTGTCATGACCTTGACAGTTTTGAGGGGGACCGCACAGGTGTTGTGTCGAATGTCCCTCGTTTCGGGTTTGTCTCTTGTGTTTTCTCCTGGTCAGAGGGGGGTTGTGGCTTGGGGAAAGGACACCCCAGAGGTGTGGTGGCCCTCTTGTCACATCCTATCAGGGGGTCCTGTTGGCCGGTGACCTGGTTCCGGTGGTGCCTGCCGGGTGTCCCTCCTGTCTTCCTGGGCAGCAGCCACTCAGTGAGGCGGTCTCCCTGCGGGGCTGGGGACGAAGCTGTGCCTCCCTCCCGGGACCGGGGTGGGAGGGGGGGTGGGGGCGGGGGGCGGCGGGGAAGAGCCGCTGTAGTATTTGGAATTCTGGAGGGAGGAGTCCTGTCTCCCCCACGAGCTCACGTTTATCAGCGGTCCCCTCCACCAGCAGGGACTCCTGGATGTGTGTCGTGTACTTGGGGTCCAGTCCCGCACTGTGTTGTTTTGCCCTGGCCGTTGGGGGCTCTTTCATTTGCTTGTTTCGGGGGCACCGCCTTACTTTGTGGCCCTGCCGGGGGCTCCAGGTTCATCTCGTCGTGTGCCCGCCTCAGCCGTAGCGGCAGCCACGTCTCCAAGGAGCCCTGGTGTCTTTTACTGGAGGACGGCGTTTAGAAGCCAGGACCTGGGCACTGGTGTGCGCCTTGCTGCAGCTGTCACGGCCTGAGGTCTTGTTGGATGAAGTTAGAGAACGTGTGCGACTGTTTGTCTATGTGTATGTGTGTGTCTGATCTGTGTGTGTGTGATCTGTGTGTGTGTCTGTGATCTGTGATCTGTGTGTGTCTGTGATCTGTGTGTGTGCGTCTGTGATCTGTGTGTGTGTGTAACCTTCCTGTGAGAACCTGGCTCCTACAGCCGCCATCGGTTTCTTATCTCTAGCCCCAAGGTGCACACAGAGGCAGTTTCAGAACTGCTCACCCACATTCCACCCCGACGAGAAACAAATTTACCAAGTTGAGTGTAGCTTAAGGGTGGTTCTTTGGATCTTTAGCTTCTTAGTCAAACACCGTTTTCCAGGGGTGCTGAGGTCAGCTCCTTGTTTTGCATCCCCTTCGGTGTATTGTCATATATTTGTGACCCAGTTAGAACCATTGGTCACAGTCTGTGTTCTGTCTTGAGATCCCCAACATTGTTTGATTTGTGTACATTAAACTTTACTCTCTGTGATACATGATCCTACGGCTTTTGACAAGTCCTGGTCTTGTGTGCACTGTGATGGTGTATTTTGATGAGCAGAAGTTTTTAATGTTGATAAAGTTTAATTTATGAATCGGTTTTCTTTCTTGGTTCATGCTTTCTGCGTCCTTTCTAAAAGTCTTTGACTAACCAGGTCACCAAGATATTCTCCTATATTTTCTTCTAGAGGCTTTTTCTGACTTCAGATTTTACATTTAGCTTCATGATCCATTTCTTAGTTTTCATACTATGTGAGTACAGGTCCAGTTTTTTTTTTTTAATGCTTATTTATTATTTTGAGAGAGACAGACAGACAGACATGAGCAGGGGAGGGGGCAGAGAGAGAGGGAGACACAGAATCTGAAGCAGGCTCCAGGCTGTGAGCTGTCAGCACAGAGCCTGATGTGGGGCTTGAACCCATGAACCGTGAGATCACGACCTGAGTCCAAGTCTGACACTTAACCAACTGAACCACCCAGGTGCCCCTGTTTTTATTTATTTTTGAGAAGAGAGAGACAGAGAATGAGCGGGGGGAGGGGTAGAGAGAAGGAGAC